TCTCTAAAGATTTTATTTATTTATTTGAGAGAGAGAGTGAGTGAGAGGTTGAGAGAACACATTGGGGGAGGGTCAGAGGGAGAAGCAGATGCCATGAAAAGTCCAGGAGGACCCTGCGATCATGACATGAGCAGAAGGCAGACACTTAACCAACTGAGCCACCCAGGCACCCTCAATTCTCATATTGTTCCTTTCATGTCCCTGACTGTGCTGCCAAATCATTAGCTTTCTAGTCATGTATTACTATAGAGCTTCTCCTTAGGCCAGCTTTCCTTTGTTTTTGTTTTTTGTTTTTTGTTTTTTTTAATCGTTTTTTAAATTTATTTTCAGTATAACAGTATTCATTGTTTTTGTACCACACCCAGTGCTCCATGCAATCCGTGCCCTCTCTAATACCCACCACCTAGTTCCCTCAACCTCCCACCCCCCCCACCTCTTCAAACCCTTCAGATTGTTTTTCAGAGTCCATAGTCTCTCATTGTTCACCTCCCCTTCCAATTTCCCGCAAGAGGCAACCCAGCTTTCCTTTGGACTAAATGAGCAATGAGCTGTCATGTTTAGGGTTCTGCCCACTGGATGGAATTACCTTTCTTTTTTTGCAGGGTCACAAACTTGGTGGGACTGCATTGACTTCTGCTGCATTGCAGAAGTCATCACCAACTGTCATGCAAAACCCTCTGCAAAATAGACTCAGATTTTTTTCTGGCCATCAAGAGCATTGCATGTGGCTAAAGTCAAGAATGAGAGCAGGATAGCAGCGCAATGGGAATAGACACACCAGGATTAAGAGCTACCAGCTCATCCAATTTACAATTGCTCAAGCCCAGTCCCAAATATACCACATGATAAAGGAGTATTGCTGGAAATGGCTGATTCTATGGGTTGGTAGATAAAACACTGAATTCATGTGGGGCAACAGTGATCCATAGTCAAATGAGTATTCAGTCTCCACCATAGCCCAATAGCAAGCCAAGAGCTTTTTACTCCAAAACTATGGGCCTTTATGCTGAATCTCCTCTCAGAGCTTCCCCAGCTCTGGGGAAATCAAATCATAACGCATTTGATCATAGATATGTTGCAAGCCACTGGGCTCACTGGTCATAAATAGGATGACCATATAATCTATCATCCAAACTAGGACAGTCTTGAAAATGAAAGGAGGCCCTAGTCATAAATACACTGGGACAATAGGCATAAATTAAAACTAACCTGAGATGTATAGTCATTCGGTCATAGCAGCCAAGTGATTAATTTGTTTGCTTTGTATCCTTGATCAGTCAGAATGCACACTGAAAGGAATTCAGGAAATTTTGACAGAGAACTCTCAATTCTAAAATATCCTGGATTAGTGGAGTAGGTCATTGAATTTCAAGGTAAGATATCTTCAAGTATCTAGGCAGAAAAAAAGAAATAGTTCTCAAACATTAGTAGGCATGAGAAACATCTGGATGGTTTTTTAAAACATTTCTGGACTCTATACCAAAGTTCCTTATTCAGTAGCCATAAAATGGGGTTTGGTAATTTGCATTTTAACTAATTCCCATATGATGTTGATGCTACTGACCTGGGACCATATATTAAGAGCCACTGATCTACAGAGAAGAGAAAAAATATTCCCACAGACCATCTTCAGTCTTTTCCACATCAGAATTCAATACCAAATGATAATGGGGCAACTACTACAGTATTCTAAAGAAAAAATTATATCAAGATGTGGTTGAAATTGTAGGGGCCTGACAGCTTTTATAAACATGAACAAACTCAAGTAAAATTGCCTTTATGAGAACCTCTTGCAAAAGCTATGCAATGATGAAGTCCTGATAAGAAAAGATGAATAAAAATAACTTGGGAATGGAGAACCTGCATTAAATAAAAAAAACAATATTATGAGAATTATGATTGCAAAATAAATGTTAAAATGATAAAATATGCATTTATCTAAACAAACTAATGTATCTTATCTATAAGAAATAAAATATGTAAATTTGAGGTTCCTTTTTTTAAAAGATTTTATTTATTTATTAGAAGGAGAGCTCGAGCAGTAGGTAGAGGTGGTGAGGAGGGAAGGACTGGCTAGTTCATATCTTTTTTTTTTATTAACATATAATATATTATTTGCTTCAGGCGTACAGGTCTGTGATTCATCAGTCTTGCACAATTCACAGCACTCACCATAGCACATACCCTCCCCAATGTCCATAACCCAGTCACCCTATCCTTCCCCCACAGCAACCCTCGGTTTGTTTCCTGAGATTAAGAGTCTCTTATGGCTATTTCATATCTTGATGTAGCTGAACTTAAAATGAACTTTGTCCTCCATGAAATTACCTCCAAGAAGCATAACATTTTACTTAACAGAATTGAGACCAGAGCTGGTTTTGATTTTTAAGATGCCTGTATCTTTGTATCCTTTTTGTAGAAGTTGAAAAATAACTTTGAATAAAAATTATATTTTCTTTGGGTTATTAAAAATAAATATAACTGGGAACTTTGTTTACTTTGACAACAAAACTAAATCAAGAGGTGAGCAGAGATTACAGGGAATGTGAGAGTGGCTAGCATTTGAAACCTGGGGTTTTAAAGCACAATGACTCCAACTACTCAACATTTTCCTTTGTCTTTTTTCATAATCTGATAGGGCTTTCAAAACCTGGGGTTTTAAAACACAATTATTTCCAACTGCTCAACATTTTCCTTTGTCTTTTTTCAAAATCCAGGAGTGCTCTTTTCAAAAATAAAATCTCTTCAAATGAAATATTTGAAGTTTAACAATTCTTCCAGTTTTGTTTCAATTTCCCTTTTTCTGTTAGAAAAGAAAAAAATTTTAAATTAAAATTATCATTCATATGAACACATTTTAAAAGGATTTCTATCATTCATTGTATATCAGAAAACACATTTTGTAATGATGTTTGACCTACTATAGTTAAGATTTTTATTAAGGTATAGTATATATCATAGAATTCACACATTATAAGCATACAATTTCATGATTTTTAGTAAGTTTACAAAATTGTGCAACCATCACCACAATCCAATTTTAGAACATTTCTGTCACCCCGGGAAGAAACCTCCTGTCCATTTGCAGTCAATTCCTGTTCCAACCCCAGTCCTAGGCAACCACTAACTTACTTACTGTCTGTACAGATTTGCCTTTTCTGGCATTTCATATAAATGGGAATCATATGATATGTGGTCTTTTGTATCTAGCTTCTTTCACTTAACATTTTTGAAGTTCATCCATGTTGTAGTATTCATCAGTATTTTGTTTTTCTTTATTACTGAATAGAATTCCATTGTATAGCTATACCACATTTTGTTCATATATTCACCAGTTGATGGAAATCTGGATTTTTTTCTACTTTTTTTTTGTTATTATAAATAAGGCTTCTATGAACATTTATATATATTTTTATGTAGATAAATTCTCTTGGGTAATAACGGAGTAGAATTTCTGGGTTGTATGGTAAATTTATGTCTAATATGCATTTTTAGTTGCCAAAGGTCTTTCAAAGCAGCCCCATCATTTCACATTTCCATCAGCAACTATGAAGTTTTCCATTTTTCCACATTTATGCTACCACTTACTATTGTCTCTTTCCTTATTGTCATTCTAGTGGGTATGAAGTGGTGTCTCACTGTGGTTTTAATTTGTAGTGATAGTATTATTATGATAGTAATGATAGTAATATTATTTAGAACATCTTTTCATGTGCTCATTAACCATTTTTATGTTTTCCTTTGTGAAATCTCTATTCAAACCTTGTCTCTCTTTTTTTTTTAAAGATTTATTTATTTATTTATTTGTCAGAAAGAGAGAGAGAGAGAGCACAGGCAGACAGAGTGGCAGGCAGAGGTAGAGGGAGAAGCAGGCTCCCCACAGAACAAGGAGCCCGATGTGGGACTCGATCCCAGGACGCTGGGATCATGACCTGAGCTGAAGGCAGCTGCTCAACCAACTGAGCCACCCAGGCGTCCCTAAACCTTGTCTCTTTTTAAAAAATTTTGTCATTTGTCTTATTCAGCTATAAGATTTCTTTATAGATTATGGTTAGAAGTATTTTTATCAAGGATTTGTGAATATATTCTCTAAGTTTGTGGTTTGTATTTCTGTTTCCTTAATGGTGTCTTTTGAAGTACAAACTTAAATTTTGATGAAGTCCAATTTATAATTATTTTCTTTTAAGGATTATGCTACTGGTGTCATACTAAGAACTCTTTACTTAATCCAAGGACATAAAGGTTTTCTTCTCTCTTTCTCTCTAAATGTTTTACAGTTTTAACTCTTACATTTAGACTGTTATCCATTTTGAATTAATTATTTACATGTATATGAGGGTTCTAAATCCATCTTTTTACATGTGGCTATCTAAATGACCTAGCATCATTTGTAGAAAAGACAATCCTTCCCTCACAGAATTGCCTAAAAATCTTTGTAAAAAATCAATTTACCATAAATGTAAAGATTTATTTCTGGACTCTTAATTCTGTTCCACTGATCAATATGTCTATACTATGTCAGTACCACATTCTCTTAACTATTATAGCTTTATAGTACATTTTAAAATTTGAAAGAATAAGTCCTCCAATTTCATCTTTCAAGATTGTTTTTACTATGCTGGGAACAGGCTTATGTATAGGGACCAACTCCCACTTGTTCATGGTGTATAATTATTTTTGTATATTTAAATATTTGGTAATATTCTGTTAAGGATTTTTACATCTAAGTTCAGGAAGGATGTTTGTTCATAGTTTTCTCTTTTTTTTGTAATGACTTGCAGTGGCTTTGTGCTGTCTTCCTTAAATGAGCGGGGAGTATGTCCTCCTCTTCTGGAAGAAATTGTATAAAGTTAGTGTTAATTATACTTCTAAAGTTGTGCTAGACTTCTCCAGTAAGACTGTCTTGGTCTGGAGATTTCATTTCAGAGAGCTTTTAATTAAAAAATCCAGTTTCCTGAGGTGGCAGCGCTTGTGGTGACTGAGCAGAGCCCAGTGACAGGATGTTGGTGTTGGTAAAAAGAGACCCGCATATCCCATATTAGTTTGCCAGCTAAAAAAAAAACTGCTGGTGCCAGGAAAGATTCAACATTCTCTGTGCTGGAAACTTTGGACCAAAACCAGCTACGACTATCTCAAGACTTTGGCCCATGATATTCAGATTGTAAGAAGAGACTTTGATGAGAATCTGAATTATCTAGAACAGAAAGTTGTAACTGCTGGGCAGTTCAAAATCGGTTTGCTCCATGGGCATCAAGTTATTCCATGGGAAAATATGGGCATCAGGTTATTCCATGGGGAGATATGGACATCAAGTCATTCCATGGGAGATATAGCCAGCTTAAGCCCTGTTGCAGAGGTAGTTTGATGTGGACACTCTTATCTAATACGCACAAATTTGAAGCATATGAGCATTAAAAATTTTTTACATTAACCCAGGTTCCTCCATCGGAACATATAATGTTTTGGAAACAAACATTCTTCCTTCATTTGCGTTGAGAGATATCCAGGCTTCTACAGTTGTCACTTACCTGTATCAGTAAACTGGACATGATGTGAAAGTAGAACAAATTGAATATGAAAAAAATCTTAAAGCCAAAAACATTCAATTTCCTTAATGGCTATAGAACTTTTGAGATGATTTATTACATCTTAGTTGAATTTTGGCTGTTTGTGGTTGTCAGGGAATTATTTCATTTCTTCTAAGCCACCATATTTATGAGCATAAAGTTATAGGTAGTACTCTCATTATTTATTTATAATTATTGCTTAATAACTATATGATAATTATTTATGTTTATTATTTATTTTATACTTTTGTACTTACTTTATACTGGCTGCAGTATCTGGAATGATATTTCCTATTTCATCCTGATTATTGATAGTATGTATTTTGTTTTTGTCAGTCTTAATGGAGGTTTATCAATTTTATTGATATTTTTGAAGAACAAGCTTCTTGTTTCTTGAGTTATTTGGTAATGTTTTCTATTTGCAGTTTTATTTTCTGTTCTTATATTAGTTCATACCTTTGTTTATTTTGGGTTTGTTTTGCTCCTTTCTCTAGTTTATTGAATTAAGAACTTAGATTACAGAAATTGACATCTTTCCCCATTTTAAATGTAAACATTTAGTGTTATAAATTTCCCTCTCAGTACTGATTTAGCTGGATACTACATATTTTGATATGTTGTGTTCTCATTTTTATTTAGTTCTATGTACTTTTAAAATTCCCTTTGAGACCTCCTTTTGGTCCATAATTTAGAAGTGTGTTTGCTTAGTTTCCAAGTGTTTCAAGAGTTTCCTGTTGTCTTTGTTATAGATTTCCAGTTTGATTCCATGATAGTCAGAGCACACATTCTGTATGATTTCAATTCTTCTACATTTGTTTCTCTTCTATAACCCTTAGTTTGTTTCCTTTTGTCCCATGGTTTGTCTCCCTCTCATTTCTTCCCATTCAGTTTTCCTTCCCTTCCCCTATGGTCCTCCAAGCTATTCCTCCTGTTCCTCATATGATTGAAACCATAGGATAATTGTCTTTGCTTGACTTATTTCACCTAGCATAATCCCCTCCAGTTCCATCATGTTGATATAAATGGTAGGTATTCATCCCTTCTGATGTCTGAGTAATACTTTTTAGTTTTTCTCTCTGTATAATTTTCATGGTGGTTACTGTGGGTGCTAATTATAACGATGTCAGGTATCAACATTTACCACTTCAGATGAAGTATAGAAAGTTCACTTCCATTTAGGTCTCTTTACCTTTCCCACCTTTAAATATCATTGTTTTGAGTATTAGTATTATAATTTTTGTTTCAATCTGTTTATAAAACTCATAAGGAAATGTGCTATTGTATGGACTCATATTTCTGTTCTTTCTATTGTTTCTTCTTGATTCCTGATGCTGTAAGTTTCCTTCTTTTATCATTTCCTTTCTGCTTGGAGAACTTCAGTCTTTTCACAGTAGGCCGGCTAGTCACAGAATCTTAACTTTCACTCATCTCTGAATGTCTTTATTTTCCCTTCATTCCTGAAAAATAGCTTTTCCAGATAGAGAACTATGTTAACAGTTCTTTTCTTTTTAGCCCTTTCCTTCTTCATGGTTTTACATAACAAATCCACTTAAATTGGTGTTTCCTACAGAGAAAGCCTTGTTTCTCTTTGGCTCCTTTCAAGAGTTTTTGTCCTTTTTTAAAAGTTTAATTATGATGTATCTTGTCATGGATCCTTTAGGTTTATCCTGTTTGGGTTCATTTAGCTTTTAGGTTCATTCAATCTCTAAGTTGGTGTCTTTCATCAAATACAGGAAGTTCCCAGCCATTATTTCTTCAAATACTCATTCATCCCTACTTTTCTCCTCTACTTTCTGGGACTCTAATGATATTAGATATTCTTTTGTAGTCTTACAGGTCCCTGAGACTCTGTTCATTTTTTCCAGTTTCTTTTCTATTGTTCAAATTGAGTGAATTCTATTGTTCTGTCCTCATGTTCACTGATTGTAGCCTCCTATTTCCACTCTTCTGTTGAGCTCATCTTGTGAGTTTTTAATTTCTGAGCTTTGTATTTTTCAATTTTATAATTCCCTTTTCTTTTTTGCATAATTATTATTTCTTTTTTGAGATTTTCTATTTCTTAAGAGAATTGTAATTGATTGTTGTAGCATTTTTATAATATCTGCCTTCAAATTCTTATCAGATGATTCCAACATCTGATTCATATCAGGTTGGCATCAGGTGATTTCGTTTTTCATTCAAGTTGTGATTTTCTTGGTTCTTGGTTTGTATCCTGGTCATTTTGTCTATTATGTTAGGATACTCTGGGTCCTATTTTAATATTTTATTTTATAGGAAGTTACTCTATTAGGTTCAACATACAAGTTGTCACCTACTTTTGCAGGCCATGATTCCAATGGCAGTTTAATGATTCAGAACATTTGTGATGTTATGTTGGTCTATTTGATGTACATGGTTCTGCTAAGGATCACTCTGGTCTCTGTCAACGCTGCCTGAGGTGACAGACAGAATTTCCCCTGGCTGGGTTGCTAGATATCTCTTGGTGAGGAGTATGTAGAAATCTTTCTCTTGGTGTTCCCCTGCTACCCTAGTTAATCTGGGCCAGGGAGGAGAGTATCAGTTTCATGGAAACAAGTGGCTTCCAGGCTCAGGCTGTTAGCTGTGACAGGTCCTTTTACCTGGTTTCGTAGTCAGCACTACTATCTCTGGGCAGTGGAAGAGAGTCTCTGGCCCTTGGGAACAAAGAGCTTTCTCAGCTGGGTTACTCACTTCATCTGAGCCTCTTACTGGTTCTTCCTACTCACCATAGTACTTCTCCATGGAAGAGTCTCTGGCCTAGCAGGGAAGGAGCGTACTTCCCCTGGTCACTTATTTTTGGCAGGGTTCCTAGATGGTCCCCATTGCCCGAGGTTGTCAGAGCAACTCCCACTAAATCCAGGGGGAAGAATGAGCTATTACCTTCTTTTGCTAGGTGGGAAGTTGGGAAATGCCAGCTCTGGGTGTCTCTCTTTTTTGGTTGGGGGATTCAAGATACCCTGCCTCTGTGTTATGCCTCACACCCTGAGTTCCCAAACCACCTTGCCGCCTTCTTAGCATCCTTTAGAGTTCTCCTTTGCCTGTTTCTCATGCCATTTCCAGGGTTTATAAAGTTATGCTTAGTGGGAAGGAGCAAGGAAAAAGTCTATACTATCTTGTCCAGACCAGAAGACCCTCACCTACTGAATTTTATGTCTTCTTTATCTGTTAAAAATTTTTTATTTTTGTTTCTGTTTTGCTATTTTAGACCCAGTTACATTATAGACATCAAAAATCTGAAAGTAATCTTTGCCTGATGCACGCATTTAATCTATTTTCTCTGGATGTAATTAATGAGGCTGGGGGGAAAAATGAATGTGTCAACACAATAGAATCTAAATTGAGAATAAGGCCATATACATAAGATACTGTTAAGGAGCGTGCGTGCACACACACACACACACACACACACACACACCTCCTTTCAGACCATCTTCTTCCAATCTTCTCAAGGAGCATCTCTACATCAAGCACAGATGGATTCATGAAACCAGCAAAGGGATTGGGGAAAATGGGAGGGAGTAGTAGAGCTTACTATAGAGAGGGCATAGTCCTCTCCTCCTGGGGTTCTCTCAGTGGCTAGACCTACCTCGATGCTTCTGCTTGGGAAATCTCAACTCTACAAGGCTGCACGGTGCCAGGAGAAAGGTGACTCCAAACTATCCAAGAAGAGCCAAGCTGGCTCTTCTCTGAGCTTTAGTAGGGAAGAAAACTCAGTTCAGTCAAGTGCACCAAAGTAAGTATTAATTTGGGACAGAATCCTTAGGTCAGTATATTTTCTTTCTAATTTATTTGTATACTGTGTTGTTCCCAAGAAGAATGTAAAGTGATTTTAGTGGATACATAATATGTAAGGATATATAAATTAGATGTAGCCCCCCCCCCAAAAAAAAGGAGGAGGAGGGGGGAGGAGAAAACAAGGGAGAGAGATAAGTTTGGTGTATAACTGCTTCTCAGTGATCTTCTACACTTGCCTAAATAACCCATGAGAGTATTTCCTGTACCATCTCTGACTAGACCCTCAGGAGCCCTCAGGACTGGGCATGGGTGTAGCAAGGCGGACTCCTAAAATAGAGGTATGTTATAGAAATAGAGACAAGTTCCTGTGGAAATTTCCATATTCAATAAATTTCCTGTACCTGAAACATGTTTGATTTCTTCTTAAAGATTCCTGAGTTCTCACTTTGAGAATGGCCATAGTTCTGAGCTCTGTAACCTAGTTGAAGACTCAGGCTACTAATTTCCTGAGAGATCACAAACCAGTTAGAGTCCATTACAAGTCAGACACTCTACATGTGCAGAGTGTGAGCCAAAGCTAACACTACAGTCATTAATTCCTCAAACTCTTGTTTTTAATATTTTTCTATTTTGTTCTCAGAATCTGCAAGATAGACACTTTCAGTGTCCCTCCCAAGTCAGCTGGAAATCTGGGTGATGTTGATGACATGTGGGAGCTGAGGAGTAGCCAAAGATGTAGCGCTGTGCCAGGTGACTAAATGACCACACTCCTTCCACTATGGGAGCTGTCTCTCTCCTGGGGAATAGAACACAAAAGAATCCAGTCAGCTGGGATCTATTGTCTGTGCATACAAAATACAAGGTTCACTTGATCCTGGTGCAAATCCTAGGTGAGTTGTGGGACAACATAACTGAACCTAAAAAATACTTCTTGACTCCTCATGAAGCCAGTCTCTTCCCCAGGCTTAGGTTTCTCTTCTTTCATAACTTCCTGGAGCCTCCCTCAAATACCTTTAATGTTTAAAAATTTCTTACAGTCTCATTCACTTTGCCTCCTGATGACTTCAACACCTTCAAATCTTCCTTAGACTGAAAAAAGGACCCTGTCCATTCGTCAGCCCATCTCCCTACCATTTGTTCATGAAGACATGGCCCAGTTCTTCTTTTTCCTCTTCATATTCTCTTGAACCATTCCTTTTTGGCCCTTTTCTAAAAAGTTGAGCGTCATACCTTAGTATTTCTCTCAAGTTATTTTTCAAAGATCAGTATCTCTTTCTGACCAAACTCAGTGACTTTTCTTCAGCTTGATCTTTCGGCTTTTTCAACTTGTTCTATCAGGGCAAAGACAATGTCTATGTTTCTATGTTTCTCATATTTCTCTAACTATGTATTATTGGGGATCATTCCTAAGTTTTGAATATCTATAGCTATAGTCCATGAATGTGACCTTTCTTATCCTATTTGAAATGGCAAAACAAGGTATCTGTCCCAAAACCTACCGTTAAATGCATTGTATATGTATATACATTCATGTTACTATAAAAAATTGTTTCCATTTTATCAGGAAAATGAGTTTTAAGGAGCGTGGCTTCTAATCAAAATGCAATGGGATGAATATTCTCCGATACAAAGAAAAGCAATGAAATGGGACAAAAGAAACTTGTGCAGGGCTTGCTGAAGAGAAACCTAGACATGATCAAGGAATTGTACTAAAAGTAGAAGATTAAGTATACTGAGTAAAAATTTTTTTATTAAATCAAGTCAAGAAAAATGAAAAAAAAAAAAAGAATCTTGGATTCTCTACTGAAAGTTTGAGTTTAACTTGGAGAAGAAGGAATGCAGGAGTTTTCTTTTGTATTAGAACAGGAGGTATAGGGCAACTTTGTAACAAACCAGAAATGCCTTGGGAAGTCCTTTCTTGTAGGGCAAGATTAGAAAGAAAGATAATCCATTTGAAGGAGGCCAGGAGCAGAGGAGCAACCCAGTCTGAAACCACAGGAGTTTAAAACTTGACATTATAGTTTCCTGTATTTCTGAGGATGTAGCCTTTGATGAAGTGAAATAAACACCAAACCTGAGGTCAGATCTCTGCTGGAATCCTGATTCTGTAGTCAAATGGGAGATTCCTCAACATAACTCCCATTTTCTCATGGGCACTGTGCAGAGAATAGTTCTGTTACCTTTTTGGATGGAAGCCCTTGTTCCTCAGTATCTACTTGCTAAATATTATCCTTAGAGAGAAGGTTCCATGTAAGCCAAGAGGTTTTTTGATTAATGCATACTGCTCTGAATATTTAATAAAGTATTTTTAATAAGCATTTGTTAAAAGTTATGGTGAAGCTGTAACTGCTGAAAGATTGATTTAAAAAAATAGTGATACATTTATTTAACTCAAAGAGCAAAGGCAAACTTCGTTATACATAATCAAAGATTGCCATCTAGTGGCCCAATTGTGTTATAAGTTCTGAAGTTAGCAGCAAGCTCCTGAAGCCTTCAGAGGTTAGAAAAGTGTATGGGGGGAGGAGGAGGGAAAAAAGTGTATGGGAAGCATCCAGCCCCACCAAGGAGAGCAGCAAAGAGTAAGACTTTGGCCCTGGAGGCTTTTGCTTCACTGAAGGCATTCAAAATTCAGACTATAAACAAAACACTGTGCTCTTCAAACCAACCAATCTTCTAAAGCCAGCCATAGCCCTGGGCCTGTACTCATTCAGAATATGAGTAAACAGTTCAATGTGATAATGTGATAACTCTGGGAGATAAGCTCAGAGAAATTCAAAACAATGAATGGGCACCTTCAAAATGATCCTGAGCAAAATCTTTGCATCTTGTGAGCAACTTTACAATAGAAAATTTGGTTTACTTGTGGTAGAATTAGTGGTGTGTACATCTTAATGATAAAGGAAGCTGTGAGACTTTTAGAAAATGAGGAAGAAATAAAGTTACCAGGAAGAAATATAACAGGAAAACACCACTGCCCGAAATGATTCTTGTTTCTTTCAAATGAGGCTGCATAAAGTTACTGAAAAGGTACAGGCTTGAGAGTCAGCAGGCTACCCATGTTCACATTCTGGCTTCACTGCCTATTGGCTGTGTGACGTCGAGCATGATATCCAATGTCACTGAGCCTCACACATTGTTGCAAAGATTAAATAAATAAGTTTTGGAAAAGGCTTACCCAATATCTGGAACATAATAAGTGTTTCTTTCACCCTACTCTCACTTATAAGAAACCACATAATTTCACTTAAAGAGAAGAAAGTTAAGAAAAACTTCAAAGATAGGGTTTGGATTTGGGGCCAAAAACTGCCTTTCAAATTACATTTTTTTCTGTTAAAATGAAGATAAGAGACAGTTAGTCACTCTCTGACTAAAGTAGCAGCAGTTGTCCTGGCTTTAACTGGTTCCAAGTGTTCTTCCAGGATATAATTTTCTCATTGATAACATGGAAGAAAGAGTTTTATCCACTATAAAAATGAAGACAAGAGTATAAACCTCACAGGATGCTGTGAGGCTTAAATGGAATATGACATCAATGGCCATAGTTAGTTACCACTTAGTAAGGATACTTACTAAATTTCATTGTTACTGGCCTTTGCCTCTTTCTGGGACATCTATGAGAACTGTCATTATTTTAGAACTACCTACAGGACTTTGCTACCTTCCTCATGAATTACTCTTTCACCACGGCTCTTATCTAGAAAAGCTAGCACTATAGCTCCCATAAGGTGCCTGTTTCTTTGCACACTCCATGCCTGGGATTGGTTTAAAACTTGCATTTCCAGACATCCTTGGAAGTGTGTGGGAGACTAAAATTCTTCCTATAATATTCTCTACTCTGGGAACTTCCTTCAGAGCCTACTACATATCCCTTTATCTCAAAGGAAGCAAAGTAGAAAAGGATTTTGGTCAGATAGAGAAATAGGTTTTCATTTAAGTTGACTCTGAAGGCAGTTCATGAATATTTTTGAGCCTTGGCAGCATAATTTTGCAAAGTGACATAAGGGAACACATCGTTTTGGTATATCAATTATAAAATGATTTTTTTAAAGTCATATCTTTAAAAAAATTGAAGATCTAAAAGGACTATGATCCCTCTTTGCACCCCTTTTAGGTTAGTAAGCTATGACTGGCACTCATTGGCACCTTGCCTGTTCCTAAACCCTAAACCCTAAAGTTTTGACTCATATTGGGGATATAAGTTGTTTTTTATTTGTTTGTTTGCTTGTTTAATCAGTTTAAGGATTCTTTCCAGGGGGTCTCACAGGACCTCATCCTCAAATACAAGGCCTTGCACACTGACTTGCTGCCCCCAGAAGTGGCACAAAAGTCCTCTGTCAGGCATGGTCTAATTTGGGGTATGGAAATAGGGTTGCTAAGTAAAGACAGGCAGCTATGACAGGAAGTAAAGCCTTAGCCACGAAACCTGCATTTAAGTCTTAGCTCCACTACTCAGGGGCGCTGAATTATTCTGGGCCTTGTTTCTTCATCTGTGAAATGGGGGATCCCTGCCTCACGAGACTGTGAGGAGGGCTGGTCTGAGGATGAGAAGGCCCTTTTTAAGCATCAAGCATGGAGCCCTCCTCTGCCCTCTGGATGGCACAGGCCCCTTCTAGCTCTGACAAGAGGTCTCACCACACCTACAGGGCAAGCTCAAGGACGAGGTACCCTCATCAGGGGCAGGCGGGGTGGCCTGTGTCAGCTGTGGCCAAGCCCCGCTCTGCCCACACCCCACCCGCAGCAGGATGCCCCAGGCTCACCGAACGCCTCTCCACACTCCCTTTTTTCCTGCCATTCTTGCCTGGCATGACATCCAGTGAGCGGTAGCTGGGTGGCTTCTCCTCAGGCCAGTTAGGGGAGTGTGAGCTGTGGTGGCAGTGGGTTCCCCAGCTCTGGGGGTGCCTCTCCTTCTCATCCTCCTCAGAGCTCCAGGAACTGAGGCCAGAAGGCAAGGGAGGGGAGTAGCTACGGTGTCTGCGCCTCCGGTGCCTCTGTGCATTCTCCTGGGGTCTGGGCCTGCGGGGTCTGTCTGGGTACCGGCTCCGGAGAGGTGGGTGGTCGGGCCGCCAACGGGACTCCCTTGATGAGGGGCCGTCGCTGAGGCTGTCCCTGTCTGACCAGGGCAAAGGGGACCCGTGCACCCCAGAGCGGTGGTGTCTTCCCCTCCGAAGTCGGTTCAGCTCCCGTGCCTCCAACGCCCAGCGCTTAGGCTCCTGGTCCTGAAGCTCCTGGTGGAAATCAGAATAGTGGGGCTGCCTTCTCCCCTCCCTCGGATCCCAGGGTCCAGGGGGAATTGGGGTAAGCCATTGCTGGTGGGAGGAGTTGCTGGTCCTCCTTGAGGATGGCAGGTCTCTGATCAGTGGGGGCAGGTGGATGATTCTGCGCTCCACAACCTCAGAGCCCAGAGAAGACAGCATGCTGCAGGCTTGGCCAGATATGGCTTTGAGGTCATGGGGCAGAGGCTGGGCTGGGTTGAGGTTCCGCAGCTCTTTCTCCAAATACTCTAAGACACCATTTGCAATGGGAGGGTGAGTGGTGGTCTGGGTCATTGGCATCGGTGGGAGGCTGGATCGCAGGGACAAATCTGAATAGAAACAAGGATAAGAACATGCAGAACTGCTGGCCCAAAACATACTCCTCAGAACCAGGGCACCAGAATGCCACATTAATCAGCTTGCATCTATCCCGACCCCATCCTCAATCCCAGACACCCGCCATATTGGTCATGAGGGTCCCAATGTAGACCCAGTGCCTACCCTTGCCCTCTGCCCCCTTCCATCCCAAATCTCGGGCAAGGTTTACCTCGCTGCAGCAGCGGGTTCATTGGATAAGATGAAACCTGGGAGCTCCTGTCCGCCCCCCAGTATAGGGGTTTTTCCATCATCTGAGGACCTAGGGCCTGAGCCTGCTTCAGGTAGCGGTGGCGGGCCAGGGCTGCAGGGGAAAAAGGAGAAATGCAGACCCTAACCCAGGACAAGTCCCACACCTCCCACTTCACTTCTTTCTACCCAGTGGCCTTGCTAAGAGGCCAGTTTCTAACCTATCTTGTATAGGAGTCAGAGTTAAAGGAGCAGTAACCCATCGGTCATCTGGCAAGGGGCTGGAAATGTACTCCAGGAAAGTATACATATAATATCTGACTTCCCAGTCTTGAAAACATTGCATCATCCTGCCATTCCCAGGTTCCCCTAAGATGTAGGTAGATACATGGATATGAGCAATACATGAAATCCCAGGTCCTGGGCCAACAAGGCCTTCAGCCACAGGCCAAATACAGAAGATGCAGACACAAAGGACTTCAAGGGGGCTGTGAGGCCGGGGCTGCCAGGGAACCTCAGGTCTGCCTGCTCAAGGCGGAAAAAGGAAAACAAAAAACCAAAAAAACGATGTAGGTGCTGAGGTCAATGGGCAGAATTACTGGTAGGGGGAAGGACTCTGAAGAACCTTCTAGCAGGTGTTCTAGACCTTGGGGGGAAGAACTAGTGGGAGGGAGGCAAGAGATGCAAAAAGCTGAAGTATATTCCAATGGATCCTTTCTACTATTCTTATCTCAGAAAGTGTTGGGTTTTCCCTAAGTGGGAGGAATCTCTAAGGGATGCAGTGAAGGTAAAGAAGGGAGCATGTCAGGGCAAAAAAATCATATAAAAAGGCAGCACAAGGAACCCATAGACATGTCACTCCAGTACCCCAGGTGCAGCTAATGTGAAGCACACAGTCCCCTCCCCTCCACCCCGTGAGTGCAAATTAAAAACAAAAGCATTTAGTTGGTTTTGTTCATGAATTTCTGTTCTGAGGTAACTGTCTCCCAAGGTCTCTGTCTATCCATGCATGCAGGAAATGTACTTGTGTGTTTCAGGACAGGAAGTGCCTGCCTCGGGCCCCTGGCTTGACACTTTCACCTCTTCTTGCGTTCCTCAAGCCTCTCGGCCTCTAAAGCAGCAGGGCTCTGCCTGGGGCTTCCTCTTGGCACGGTAAGAGGGGCAGAAGACAGGCATTCTGGCCCCTGCTGCACAGGGTCAGGGATTTGCTGAGGCCAACAGCTGAGTGGCCATCTGGACCCGGTGGCTCCAGTGTGAAACACACTTCCAGCACAAGACATGGTTGCTGATGAGCCCTCAAAAATGTCCAGAGCTGCAGCCGGGACAGTGCAGCACGGCCTTGGCTGGAGAAAAGCAGATGCAGACTTGAAGCAGCTCCCCCAGCGGCCACACCTTCAGGTGGCAGCACTCCAGACCTTCCACGTGCACAGCACTTTCCTCTCCCTCTTGCTAACTAGTGCCTCCCCCATCTCCCTTCATGGGCCACCCTCTGCACACATAATGCCTGGCTTACTAAACATGTGCCAGTCATTTTACATAAGCTAACTAATCCTCAGAACAATGTCTTATGTGGGAATTAGATGAAGAAGCTGGGTGCACAGAGGTTGACTTCTCAGTTCAAGGTCCCATAGCTGGTGATGACAGAGGTGCCTCTCCGATGCCCAATCCTGTCCTCTTTCTGCCAAATCACTGAGTCCCCAGACTCTCCTTTATTTCTGTGATGAAACAAAACACACTTTCCACAGTGGTACCTCCTTGCTTTATTTCTCTCCGAATCAGCTGCACACTTGAAAACCCACTCCAGACTAGTTTTTTCCTCTAAGGCCTGGGGCATCTGACTCTGTTGGGAACAACCCTACCCACTCTCTACCCCTCTAACTGAATCCTGGCCACTTCCTTCTCCTACTACCCCAATTCCACAGTTCACAAAGAGAAAGTTGGGCTTACACGTTGTTTCTTGAATGACGCTTTTTAACTAACAGGATCCTCTGCACAGACAGACAACTCCATAAAGACCCTTACAGATCCTCCATAAGCTTTCCTGTAAAATTTTCCATACTCCAGAGATTAACCCACCTGCTCTCTTCTTAGCTGCCACACCCTTTTCCCCAGGGCCCCACCTTTCCCTGTTGTAATAGAACTTTTGAGTGGAAAACAGCCTCTGAGCTTCTCCCTGGCCCTCTTGTCCCATGGGGATGTCAGGATTTTCTGCTGTTCACCTAATGGGGAATCAGGCAATAAAAGAAGAGACATGGAGAAAGTAGCTAAGCCTCAAAAGACTCCTAATTAGTTATCTATGAACCTCAGCGGAATAAAATCTGCCTTGATCATGCTAAGGCACTAGTTAAAAATATAGATTCCTAGAGCCCACTCCCAGATACTCTCCTTCAGTCTAGTGCAAAGCAAGTGCAAGTTGTTAAAAAGCTCCTTAATGCTACTGCAGGAAGCCCAACTGGAGTTGACTATTGAGAGTTCTAAACATCCTTTTGAGAACTGTGGTCCTCAGGGTTAAGTTTCCTTAAATATAAGCTTTGAGGGTCAGATGGACTTTAGCATGAATCCCAGCATGTACCAGCTGTGTGGTTCTGAGTAAATTTCCAGAGTCTCTGGTCCCAGGCTCCTCTGTGAGCTAAGGACAGAAATACCTATTTCATAAAGTTGCAGATGTTAAATGAAGCAAAACACGTGACGTGCCTAATAGATGACAGACAACCAAGAGACAGTGGCTCTCACTGACATAATAAATTGTTATAACAGGTCCCTTCTTTTGCCTTAGACCCCACAGGAAATAAAAGTACACATTTGGAGACCAGACCACCAGAGGCCTATTTGTCTTCATTTCTGAGGAAAACCCAGGGCATATTCTTTAAGACATCTCTTTTGTGAGAGAAATGGCACAGCACATCCCCCTCCTCCAGAGACCAGCACCTCTCCTTCCCTGCAGCCAGCATCACCCATGGTGTCTGGAGCTTTCCATCTGGACTTCCTAGCCCTTCCCAGCCCCTCTTCACTCTTACAGAACTCACTCTTTACCCTCTTTAAACCCATGATCACACAGTCCTTTCACTTTTTCCCATACTACCAGCCCCCTCTAACTTGACTGGCTAGTCATTTCAGCGACACCATTAGGAGCTTCCTAGAATCCCAAGAGCTTGAACTCTTACCATTTCAGCTTTCACTTCCGGCCCCGTGCTGCCAGTGCTGACAGCACAGCCAGGCAACTGACCTCACTCAAACAGCACTCCCCAACATGGCTTCCTTTGACTGATCTATCAAGTCCACTTCCCTCCGTGAGAGCAGTTTAAACATTCCCCTCTTCTCATGTCTTCCCCTCCCCATGAACTCTCAGTTGATGACATCATCTTGTTTGAGAAAGAGGAACCAGCCCTGGGCATGGAATCGAGAGACCTACGTCCAGTCCAGGATCTGCCACCAACAAGCTGTGTGTGATTGTGCTGAAGTCTCTCTAGGCCTTACTTCCCTCAGTTGTGAGGGGGATGGGGAGGTGGGTGGCACAGATCAGAGATTCCCAGAGTGCCCTGTGGCCTACCACAGGGTATGTCTAGAGGTTCTGTGGGAAGGATGGCCAGCAACTGATCTAGGATTCAGTTTCAATAACTTTCATCTTTAAGTTCTACTGTGGGTCATTTACCAGCACTATGTGAATTACCAAGGGTTACTAAAATTTGTTGTCATTCTCATTTTTCTCTTCGCTGGTCCTCTATTAACTCATTGGAAAGTGGGACCAAGTTAGGGAGGTGAGTTGTGGTCAGAGAAGGTTAAGAAGCACCAGTGTCATTCTCAAGCTCCCTTCTGCCTCTAGAATTCTGATTTGCTGAAATAGAGACAGGCTGGTATGAGATCCCTCAGCTTCCCTTATACTTGGACCATCCCTCACATTTTAATGACTCTCTCTCTCTCTCTCTCTCTCTCTCTCTCTCCCCCCAGAGGTCAGACTGCCCTACCTTTCCTTTCTAAATGTAGTCCTTTCTCCATATGCCTGATGTCACTTCCACCTATTCCACCTGCTCAGTGATTGTCTCACTTCATAAAGCTTCAGTTTAGTCATTTCCTACTGGCTTGGTTCTTTGCCTACAAATATGCTTGGGGTTATTTTATTCCAACCAACAATCATACACACCTCTTTCCTCATCCAAGACCTCTCCTTAACAACTTCTGCCCCCTCCATGTACTCTCCTCTTGTCATCAAAATTCTCAGGACAGTCTGCTGTAGTGACTCACTCTGAAAGTGACCTCATTTGCTCAAGTCCAGGGATCTTTACTTGTGGCCTGCATTTCTTTGTTATCAGTTCTTCTAAATGAACCGAACTCTAACTGCTTAGAAGAAACCACTCTCCCCACAGAACCTGTTTATCAGCTTACTGAAACAGTGGATACATTTATCATTTGTGTTGGCCTTGTCCCCAGTCCTGCCTGTTTTTAGTGCCCCACGGACCTAGGGATTCTAAGAAGGCATCTTGGGAGTGATTTTCTCATCTCTTTTTGTGTATTACTACTCCAGTGACAGTGACTTCTCCACGGCATCTCTCCCACAGGCTCCTGAAAGGTAAGGAGTTCCACAGCCCAATATTGAGTTCTCTGCTATTTTTCCTCTCTTTAAAGAAGCCATTGGTATCACTGCCAAGCCAATTGTGGTCTCCATGTAGAGGCTGTGGCAGCCTCTACTGTGTGAGATTCAGGCACTCATAAGTCAGGTGAACCCGGATTCAACACCATACTGCCACTGCTACCGACTAGCTGTGACCACTCTGAACTTCAGTCCCCTCATCTGTTCAGTAGAGATGATACAGCCTTCTAGAGTTGTGAGGATTCATCTAGGGAAATATATGCGAAGGGCCGATACATGGCAGACATCCAATAAGTTAGTTCTCTTTTCCTGTAAGACAGCCTGGAACACGGGCCTAAAACCAGATGCAGGCCACTGACCTTCTTGACATCGTGGATTAAGTTTTGTTTCTATCTTAAGAAGTAATTCCTTATCTTTTAAGAAATTCCTGTTCAAATGAACCAGACTGATAAGAGAGATAAAAGTGATTATCTCTGAGTGCTCAGATTAGTCTTTACATTTTCCTGAAATTCTCAAGTTTTCTACAATGTACTACTTTGCTTATATTAGGGAAAAATGTTGTTTTAAGGACACAAAACTCCCTCCATTTAAAGCAGTTGATCCCATGCCATCTATTTACTAAGAAAAGGATTTTATAGAATAATTTTCTACAAAAATATTGGCATTCCACAGCCAAATTTTTTAGGACATGACATAATTCTGTTCTAAAATGTCAAATTTCAGCCAACCAAAAGAAAGATCACATTAAAAGCAAGATCTTCTGCTCTGTCTCTCCTTCCTCTAAACCTCCTTCCTTCATCTAAAAACAGGTTCTCAAAGTGTGGCCCACAGATCAGCAGCATCACATCACTTGAGAACTTTTTGAGAATACAAATTCTCAGGCCTATCCAAAACTAGTTAAATGAGAAACTCTGGAGGTAGAGCCAGGAACAAAGTTTTACCAAGCCCTAGGTGATTCTTAAGTTTAAGAACCACTGCTTTAGTACTTCTCTCCTCTATCTGTTGTCTTCAAGCCATCTCTAAGGGGTGGCCTCCTCTCTCCCTACTACATTCAAACTACATTCAAACCACCCACTCCAGCCACTCCCTATCAAAGCAAGGTGAGTACTAGGAGCAAATACTGAAGCACAGGTTTATCAGGGCCACTGAGGAAATACCATCAGTAGGCAGAACAACAACTGGAAGGAGACCTTAGACAGGCTAGGATGTAGACAGGCAGAAGTCTTCCCCCTTGGGTCTACAACTTCCTGGAGCATCATTTTCTGGGCTGAGGTCAAAGACCTCTGCACCTGTGATGGGAGAAGGGCATGGAGGAGAACCTGGAAGGACCCAAGGTGTTGGCCTGGTGTGTGAGGCTGATGTATTTGAGATAGCAGTCTGCAGCATCACCCCTCCCATGGCTCGTCCATCCCCTCTCACCTTCCTCGGGGCAGCAGCAGCGGGCAGGGCAGCAGGGGCAGCGGATGTAGCAGCAGCAATACTGAGGACAGCACTGGCACCAGCACACGCTGACCAGCAGGAGCAGAAGGAGGGCTCCCAGAATGATGAAGATCACTGTCAGCCAGTCTGCAGGGGAGACACCAACAGCAAGCTAAGTAAACATGCCGGTGAGAGCTTCCAGGTCTAATGTTCTAGAGGTCTAATAAATACAGCTCTTGACCTACAGATTACATTCAATCAAAATACTGGCAAAAAAAAAAAAAAAAAAAGGTTTAGCTGCAGTAAGGGAACTTCGGAGGCTGGCAATCCAACAATAACCTGGGCTTGCTTGCTTCTATTCTTTTTTCTGCGTGTGAAAGTGTCACAGTGTTGGGTGGCTAAGATAAGCTCCAGCAGCACTTACGCAGGACAATGAGCTTCACCTCCTTATCTGGGTCTCCTGACGTGTCCCCGGGAGCCTCAATGGCGCAATAATACACTCCATGGTCCCACCACATCACTTCATTAATCACCAGATCTGCTCCTGCAGGAAGGGAGGGAGAAAGTGCCAGGGGTTAAAGGAGAGGGCCCAGGTTTCTGAACTATGGCTTTTAAAGACCCAGCACCGTCCTTCCACACTCTAAGAGGGCCCCTCGTCGTGCAGAGGTAGGCCTCAAGTCCTTTTATTGAGACCTTCCTCTTTCTCCACACAGTACAATGATGGTACAACTGACGATTCAGTGAGCCCTACCAGGTACCATGAATGGATTTTGGACATCACCTCATTTCATTTCCACCACAGCTCTCTGAGTGGGTGAGGTACACATTACATTGCTTCCAGGGATATAACTTTCTCTCACAGTCATGTAACTTTTGGTCATGGATGTGGCCATCCAGGATAAAGTTACTATTTTCTATCTTCTCTTAAAGGTGGACATAGATACGCAACTCCATTGTGGTGGACAGAATGCAAGCAGAAGTGTCACATGATGGCTTCCAGGAACTCTCCTAAAACAGTTTGGGAACATTTTTTTCCTTCTCTTCTTTTCTTTTACTCTGTTATCTGGGAAGCAAATGTGATGGCTGCAATTTTGGACCATAAGGAAGAAAAATACTTTCTTGGGGAGCTGGAGCTTGGGCCTATCCCTGAGGTCTTAATGGAACAGAGCCACCATACTAATTTTGGACTATCTACCTCCAAATTTATACATGAGAAGAAATAAACTTCTCTACTGTTTAAGTCACTAATACTTTGGGCTTTTGCTTACTCACAATCAAACTTGATACCATCCTGATACAGTAAGTATGCTTATTAGCTTCATTTCAGGTGAGGAAACCAAGACTTCAGGAGGCTAAGAAACTGGCCTAAGAACAGAGAATTAACGAGTAGCAGAGGTAGGTTCCAATCCATGTCTCTGCTGCAACCCTGGTGCTCTTAACTACGAAGTTCTAATGTCCTTTCCAAAGTGTGTGGAGAACTCCACAGCCTGGGTCCCTCACGGACTGTGAACAGATCCCTCTGGATCTTGGAGGGACAGATTACGAGATGAAGTTGAATAAGGAAGGATAAAATGCCAATATTTTAAGGGTATGTGACTCAGTGTTTAACAAAGGAATTTCAGTTTTCATGAGCACCACGCGTTGGGCTACCTCATTAAGATAGATGAATGGTATGTTCAAGTTTAGTAAATGCTACGAATCGTCACTGAAGACCTTGTGTGGGTCCAGCTCTATGACAGATCTTCAGAGGACCAAAACTCATTTCCATCCTAAAAGGGCTTAAAGTCCAGTCATGCATCAGGGCAGCCTCCACAGTAAAGTGCCAGGGGACATCTTCGAATTCCTTTTTAAAAACCCTTAGCATTATAGACTTGCTCCTGCTTACTTGGCAGTCCCATCTGTAATTCTTCATTATCTGTTTGTCAAAAAATATTGATTGAGGAAATGAAACAAAAATGCAAGGTCATGCACCACTGGAGCTAACTTCAACTTCTGTTTCCTCCTCTTTCTACGTCAATCTCTACGATTTTATTTTTCCTACCCACGATTTTCCAAACAAACTGCCTTTCCCAGAAATAAGCTTACCCCAGACTTGGAAGAATGGTAAAAATGCTTCAGAGGAAATTCTCTCTCAATGTTACTGTGCATTAAAAATCTGCTCCAATTTTTATTAGAGACATAAAGATTTTTCTAGAGATGTCACAATAATGGAGACATTCAGATATGTTAATATTTTAAATAATCCAAGAACTGACTTGACATGGTCATCTCAAATGATGCACACACAGGCATAAAGTGTCAGAAAACAAGGGCTCCAGGAAATCATGACAACTAGGGAGGCAGAAATAAAAACCAAGGGGAAATACTGCTTTCCCACTGGTATAAGGGAGAAGCAGAGTTTGATCCAAAGGTGACTGGGATTAGAGATAGTGGATAGTATTACTCAAAATTAGAAAAAAAATTAGTGGGGACTTTCATCCTTCAAAAACTATAAAGGAGACTTGCCAATTAAAGAAGCTTTAAATTTTGGGGTCAGATGAGGGCTAATTCTGCAGGCTCTGGGAAAAAGAGAACCATCCCGAATCTTTAAGAAAGCACCTAGATTCCAGAAAAGGACAGATGTACCTAAGGCCAAGAGTTTAAGGGCTGGCTTGGGGGAATCAGGGATTGCATGTAAAAGAATCAGACTTAAATATTACAGCCAAAGTATTATATACAATTTTGGAAGAAAATGTTAAATTGGCTCCTTTTAAATGATCTTCATTTAAATGGTCATAGAGCATTCACTGATTTCTTCACATTGTTGTTACAGGTACCCTGAGTGGCCTGCTTCATGTATTCTCCCTTCTTTTTTCCCTTTTAACCAGCAAATATTTATTTTACACTGCATGTGAAGCTCATTGAAACAGGCTCTGAATTCTGCCAATAACCCAACTTGGCAATCCTAGATTTCAAGACAGGAATGTGGGGCACTAGCCCATCCATCCAAAAGTATGCTCAGTGATCATAACTAAAGTTCACTGCACACTTAATATTTGCTAAGTGTTTTGCATATCATCTCACTTAATCCTGACAACTCTCCAGGAGATGGATAGTACTACAGCATGTCCCATTTTGTAGAAGCTGAGGTTAAAAAAAAATTGAAGGGACTTGCCCAAGTTCACATACCCTGTTAGTGCAGAATGGGGACCCACGCCCAGTCTGACTACAGACTGAGGGCTCTAACTACCAGTCCCTGTACGAGGCACTAAGAATAAATATGCTTTACACATAGCTCTTAGATATCACATTTGATATTTACTTCAGTGTACAGAGACAGAGACCAGTATGTCCATCTTTCAGTTGAGGTAACAGGGGCCAGAGAAAATGTCTGTTACAGGTCCATGAACTTAGCAGGTGGAAGCAACCAGAGACCCCGCCAGGTCTTCGGATTCCAAGGCTAATGCTCTTTCCTCTACCAATGGGCCATGATGGTTTCCAGGCGGCTATCTGCTTGGAAGCCCCTTAGACATGTACAAGAGGAGTGGCCAGAGGGAAACTTAGGGGGCCCGGCGTTCATGCAGGCCCTGAGAGCAATTTATGGGAGGGAGCAACCAAGCCTGAGCCACACCTCAGCCATGAAAAAGCAAAAGAAACCACCCACTCCCAGACTCTTAGCCAAAGCTGTAGGACATCTCATCCAAAGACCAATTTCCAGGGGAGTGACTTCAGATGGTGGTAACAGCCTTCTATATATCTGGCACTTTCCTCAAACAAACAAACAAAGAAAAACAAAATAAACAAAAAGAAAAGGAAGAAAGAAAGAAAAAAAAAAAGAAAAAAGAAAGAAAGAAAAGAGGGAAATCCCCAAAATGACTCAGCCGGCCAGACCCAGTAACTGCACCTCTGGCCAGCCCTAGATGCTGCCGCCTCCCCTGCACTCACGGTTCTGAATGGTGATCTTGCGCTGCCGGTAATCCACCCCCAGCACGGGCTCATTCTGCCCCCGGCGCTGAGCCACGATGCGCACCTCCCGCTGGCTGTCGTTGCAGTCATTGGATGGGTCCTGGCCCAGGGATAAAGCTGCCTGGTATGCTGAGGAAAGAGGACAGTCAAGTCACACAGTAATGGGGAATTCCCAGGAGGATAGGAGCCCTTACTGTTCCCTGGAGCAGCAAAGCTTCTCATTTTTATCCTGAGCTCATTTGTCTACTCCTGCTAAACATGAAGATTCTGATATTGAGTGTCCGGAGTGGAGATCTGAGAGTCTGCATTTCTTATGAACTCTCAGGTGATAAAACGAACTTTTGAGAAGCAAGATCCAGACCCTCTAAAAGGCCATCATTTCCAAATCCTGGGTCCATGCCCCTGTCTCCTATTCTATCTACCTTTGCTTCGTTTTTGGTCACCCCAGATTCTGTTTGTATGGGGTTCATCTACCTGCCCTTTTAATACATTTGCTGGTGGCAAATGCCTGCTTGTCCTGGTCTCTCCTCCCTTCTGACTTTATTTGAAGAGTAACCCCCTAGAAATTACGCCTTGATTCAGAGATGTATCTTTTGGGGACAACTGCCAGATTCTGTGGGTGACTCGTGGGTGACTCGCAGAACATTCAGGTATCAAGATTAATACTTTAAGACATTAGTCAGGGCTAAAAGAGGAAAAGCTGATGGCTCTCCCCTTTTTTCTCACTTTAGGAAGCTCACTTCCTTCCTACAAAGACAGTGTCTACTTGTACTCTCAAAATTTCTACAAGGTTAATTGTCCAGGGCTGATGGTAATGATCTGGGTTCCTTTGTTCCTTGAGAGAGGCAGAGGTAGACAGCTAGAAAGAGCTCTGGTTCCAGGGAGGAGAGCTGACATGAGTGGGGTGGCTACTACTGAGAGGTAGGATTGGCTAAGTGTGGTGGGAGGGAAGGGGGGTAGTGCTGAGAATGTGTTCCCTAGAGGCAGTATGCTCTAACTCACTAGGGGAGTTTCCTTGGCCACTAGGAAGGCCACAAAAGTGAGTGTGGCAGTGGGAGGGAGGTTCACAAAGGGCCACTCTTCAGGATCCCAGGGGATGTAGGAGGTTTCTTGTCCACATTCTCAGGTGGTAAGGGGAATGGAGGCAGACTGTGTACTCATCTCAGTGTGCTGGCAAGCAACCAGGAACAGAACAAGACGTAGGACTAGTACTGCCTTTTAAAAACTTAATGTCTGAGCTGCCCATATCTTTTTAGAACAAGGTAGGACATAAATCTTAAAATAAAATAGTATGTGACCTCAAATAAGTTACTTCACCTGTCTGGGCTGTTTATTTATCTATAAAAGGAGGGGACTGCATTAAGTGGCCTTTGTGGCTCCCTCTCACAAGGATTTGCGATCCTAAATAATTCCTATGCCCTAATGGCCATGCTTCACAGAGGCACATGGGTAGAAGGGTGAGGGACTCACATGCAGAGTAGTAGTCAAAGATGGGGTCCTTGCAGAAGGACTTGAAGCGCCACGTGACCACGACATCCTGGAGCTGGGCAGAGGTAGTGTAGTCACACTTGAGGATGATGGAGGCAAACAGGGTGACATAGCGCTCTGTGTGCTGGACCGTCACCAGCAAGGACAGGCACCCTGCAGCCAAGAGCAGGAGACAATGCTGAAGGCACTCTATGTCTCTGGGAGGTGACCTACTTCTGTTCATGGGGTAATAAAAGCAATGCAAATAAGCAAACACACTGGCTGCCTAGCTGGGAGATGGCAGACAGAGTGGGAGGCGGAGACCACACAGACACCTGGGGTAGATGGGGAAGATGGAGAGCGGGCATGAATGACAACGGATCTCTGATCGGTTGATAGTGTCAACACATCCAACAAGAAAGAAACTACATTAAAAGAAGGTCACATAGTACTAGGGTGAGCTCACCAGTACATGTACGTATTTGTTCATGTTACTTTCTTTTAAAACGTTTCCCCACTTCCCCAGGGAAGTTCAGCAATCCTCCAAAGCCTGTCAGGTACCTGCCTTCAGCGTTTCCTGCTGCCTCATCTCCCTTCCAAGCCCACTTTACACTCACGGTGTCAGCCACGCTGAACTGGCTTCATTCCTTGCCATGCCAGAATTATAGTCTTCCCCAAGTCTTCCCTCATGTGGACCTTTTGGCTGGAGCACATTCCCAGAGCACCAGCCACCGCTCCCTTCCCTTCATGAGGCTAATTCCTATGTATTCCTTAGGTCTTCAGCAGCACCCTCACCTCCCCCAGAAGCCTTCCCTGACTGCAAATCTGGGAGAAGGGTCTCCTGTGTTTTCCCAAGGTGCCTCCTTCCCTCCAGGCAGCACGTTTCACATGCCTTGATGATGGCCAGTTAACTGCAGGCTCTGAGAAGGCCGGCTGGTTCTGCCTCTGACTTGCTGTTACAGCACAACTTCACACTGTACCTGTCACCTCCGTGGCACCCAACAAACATTTGTTGAATAAATAACGGAACGAATGACCAAGAATACATTAACGGTAGACACTGGCAGTACAGGTGGTCAACATGAGCATAAAATAAATACAAATGATCAGACTGGGACAAATTTTACTAAAGAAAGACTTGAAGTAATTAAGATTTTTTCTTTTCTCTTTTCTCTTTAAAGACTCCCTCTCCCCAGCCTCCAAGGCTACAAACACACAGCTCCAGGTCTGCCTTGATGAGGAACATGGAGGCACAGAAAGTCTGGTGGGACTTTGGCATGGGCAGAGGGTCCACACATAACACCTTAGAATGTTCCTATGTCAAGATGGTCTCTAGGCCAAGTTAGAGGGGATCTCCTTGTGGGAGGCTTAGTGCAGAATAACAGTACTCAAACTTGAGCATGCGCCACCAAGAGGACTTGTAACGGCCCAGATCACTTTCAGGAGGAGTTTCTGATTCAGGCGCACTTGGGTAGGGCCCCAGAACTTATAATTCTAACAAGTTTCCAGGAGATGCTGATATTAACTGCTCTGGGTACCAAGCTTTGGGAACCACTAGTGTAGACTAAATTAAAAACAAACAGGATTTGGACTCTGATACAATTGGATTCAAATAAAACTTCACTATTTATTTGGACATGGTATAAGCTATTTACTCTGAGTTTGTTTTCTGCCCCCAGCTATGACTGCAGATTGTAATAGTACTAACCTCATCAGGTCTATGAAAGAATGTGATGAGATAATTCACTTCTGGCCGTTGGTGTGGTGCCTGGCCCATATACTGCTGTATTAGTGTTAGTGTCTGAGTCTGAGTCTCTTTCCCTCCTTTCTCTTATTATGAAGGCCAAACAAAAAGGGTTCAAGTGGGGGTTCTCTCCAAGAGAGCCTTCAGGTGGAAAAGCCTCATGTTGACTGAGCTATTCTGACAAACACAAAAATTTATTCCCCATCTTCACCCCTTAAAAAGCAGCTGGGTGGGCCTGGCTCGAAGGCCAGAGCCACACGGCTCTGGTCCTGCCTCACCTTTGGGACACAGCCCTCGTAAGACAGTAAGCTGTGGCTTAGGATGGGCATGTGCACCCACTTTTCTCACATCCACAGAGAAAGAACAGGACAGGTCCTCACCCCCAGGAATGACCCAAACTGTCTCCGGGGCTGGGCTGAAATGAGGAAGTCCTGTAACAGGCATGCTGGAGAGAAGGTCTGCAGAAATACGGGGGAGACCTGTGGCTAGGGAAGATTTCACAGAAGAAATATAAGCTGGGCCCTGCCATTCAGGTAGGATTAAGATTACACATGAAAAATAGGAAGAAGGCAGAGAAACTTATGGTTTCAAGACAGAAGAAAAGAGAGAACAGAAGCCCTTATCAGGAAGGAGCAGTAATTTGGGGAGCCTGGAGGGAACTAACCCCTGGCTTTATGGGAAACAGAGGGATAAATAAGGCAGGGCTGGTGGTAGTGGCTGGGGGTGGGGAGTCTAAATCTCACTGAAGCATCTATTTCTAGTTATTGGGTAATCACTGAAGACTTCTCTGTAGAGTAATAGGGCAAAGGTGGTTTTTTAGGAAGACTGTTGACTTCCTCATCCAGTTATAAAGATCATCATTTTGAAAATGAGCCTTCAGTAGTTTGGGGGGAAAATAGCTGCTGTCTCTACCAGCTGTAAGATTCCTGGAAATTAGTCCAATCAGAATCGAAGAGCCAGTGACTAGCATCTCAAGCCTAACGTGGGCTGTTTTGTAATCTGCCTTATTATTTTTGCTTCTCCACTCTCACCATCTGCCTTGGTTTTTTTCCAGAACTGGCCTGAAATAGACCTTGGAGTTTTCACCCAACACAGCTTTAACCGACGAGAAGTCATTATAGGTAAGCTTTTGAAAATGACGAAGATGGCATTGCTGACACTAGTTTATTTCGCTCGGTAAATAAAAAGATTAGAATAGAGATAAAAACAATAAACAAAATCCTATGTTCACACCATACTTTCAAATACTTTTACACACTAAATCTGACCCCCGGGAGGAGACAATCAGGGCCATTTTGCACATCACAAATCTGAGACTGGAAAAGATGAGTGGCTTGTCTGTGGTCATTCATTTTCTAAGGAGGTCAGAGTCAAGATTCCACCCCTGGAATGGGTGGTCTCTCCACTCAGCCTGGTTATTCTCTAAATAAAGGAAAATGTTTGGTACTCATCAGCCTGCAAATAACCGGAATGGAGAGCCAGGTGACAACTGGCAGCGGTCACTCTGATACTGTGACTAACAACTGACATGTTCTTTATCTTGCTGAATGGTAATTCGACATAAATAGCAATGTATTCAAAGGGTGCTTGTGAACAGTATGTGTGTAGCAGTGGAACATGTGGAGGGAGAGCAAGTTTGCGGGGAGTCAGAGAAAGGAGTTGCTCTGGGGCAGCTTTGAAGATCGCTGAATCTGATACTCTGAGGGAGGAGAATGGGGACAAGGGTGATCACCTTCATCACTAAGCCCTCCCCCAGCTCCCCTTCCACGAATGCCTTTACTATGGCCAGCACACACCTGCGGGGACACCCTCACCTTTCCCAACGTCAGCACAGGCTTTGCCACCTGGGTACTGTTTTTTCATCCTCTCTTTGATTTCATCCCTATGTGAATTTCAAGCCTTGATATACATCAGGTTCCCATGATTTGGGCCATACTGAGCTTATTCACATGTTCTCCTGGGGTCTGCCAGCCCCACAGCAACCAGTTCAGCTCTCAGACCTTTGCCCCTGGCCTTGCACAAGAAGAGTGGGGAAGAGTCCCAGGACAAAGGTACCGAGCAACCAGCAACCCTCTCTCCCTTTGTCTCAGCTGTTGCTCTAGATCTCAGCACCTACTGTGTGCCCGGTGACATACGCACATAGTTCCTAATTCTCACAAGCCCCCAAGGGGTGGGAACAGACCTGCTGATACACATGGGCAAAGGTTCAGACACTATAATAAGCCAAGCCCTCTCAGCTTCAGGATCTGGTTTTGGTGGAGTTTCGGTTTTGCAGGTTTGGGTAAACCTACTCTCTCCCACGCAGGCAAGCTTGACTTTCAAAGTGGAAGTTTGGTGCTAGACTCAGAAAGCAGGAGGATTTTCCAGGTTGGGAGGAGGACAGTCCATCTCAAAGGCAAAAAAATCTCTATCCTCCTTGTCCTTTAGCCTTGGACTTCTCGGTAAAACTAACCACATTGGGCATGCACACTACTAGGCAGGTAACATTTTCAAGAAGAGACTAAGAACAGCAGAATCTGAGCTGAAAAGAGGAACAGATTCAGAAAGGTAGATGTCTTTTTTGGATCTGTGCTCTTTAAACTGTTTTCAAATTCTTATATTTTCTTTCTGTTCTTTCTTGAGGTGGGGGGAAGAGCAGAGGGAAAAAGAAAGAGAGAATCATAAGCTCGGGGCTCGATCTCACAACTGTGATATCATGACCTGAACTGAAATCAAGAGTCGGATGCGTGACTGAGCCAACCAGGTGCCCTCTTTCTATTCTTAAATTTCCTTCATATTGTGGCATCTCCTTCCCCTCAGCTAACTGCCATCTGATTTCCTAAATAGCTCTAACATTTTCTTTTCAAAACTTTAATCCAGAGACTGGCTTCCTAAGTTCACATTCTGCCTCCACTCCCCCACCAGCTAAAAGACCTGACAAGTTATTTCCAAACTGTAGTTGCCTCTTTACATGCAAAATATTTCCCTGATAGGGGTGTCTGGGTGGCTCAGTCAGTTAAACATCTAACTCTTGATTTTGGCTCAGGTCATGATCTCAGGGTCCTGGGATCCAGCCCTGCATTGGGCTCCCCACTCAGCAGGGAGTCTACTTGTCTCACTCTGCCCCTTCTCCCACTCACATACACAAGTGCATGTGCTCTTTCTTTCTCTCTCTCTAAAATAAACAAATAAATCTTTCAATGTTTATAGCAGCAATGTCCACAATACCCAAAATGTGGAAAGAGTCCAGATGTCCATTGACAGATGAATGGATAAAGAAGATGTGGTATATATACACCATATATATATATAGACCTATACATAGTGGAATATTACTCAACCATCAAAAAGATGGAAATCTTCCATTTGAAATGACGTGGATGGAACTAGAGGATATTGCGCTAAATGAAATGAGTCAATCAGAGAACAACAAATACCATATGATTTCACT